GGGAAACTACAGAGCAGATCTAGTGGGACATAGGTGCCCGTGAGGAATGATAGGTAAGGAGCCTGGACAAGTAAGCAGAGCCAGATCATGAGGGATTCCACATGCCATCAAAGCTTAGATGTGCTCCAGTGCTGTGAAAGGACTTCTCCAGGATATTTATGTTTATCCATAGATCTTATAACTTTATGGCTCTGCTTTCTTTAAAAAATATCTGCCGATTTCAGAAGATTCTTCTTAAATTTTAAATAAATCTAACACAAGTAGGAAAGATGGGGCTCCATGGAAAAATTGCAAGAACCCAGAATAAAATATAAAATTATTCTCTCAGTGTCTGTTTATTCTACTTATGAAGATCTCTTTAATTGCTAAGTGGGTTTAATAAATGAACTGTTTTAGCCATCTTATATGTTGAAATTGAAGAGAATTGCAAACCAAAACTAGATTAAACTATCCTGTATTTGTCTCTGTTTGTAAAACAGAAACTAACAGTTCATTTCAATAAGTATAGAAACATGGTTTTGAAATTAGCATCTACTTTATGCTCCAGTGGGCAAAGACACCAGACACAGATGAGCCATGGGTTCATCCACACCTGTGTATGCTCGGTGCCTCAATTATGAGACCTCCAGCCTTCGCAAAATATGAGTGTTAGGACATTCAGAGTAAGAGGCAAAATGCGAAGAAATATTGGCTTTCATTAGTATTAGTAATTGGAGTACTCTTTTCTCCTAGCTATTTTTGCTATGATTATTTAAGCATAAAGTTGAAAATAAGTAGATGAAGGATATTTAGTTTTATTCTTTAACTTTCCTAATCTGAAATGTTAGCAATAAATAGTTAGATAAAGATAAAAATGTATGCCAAAACCGGTTTGGCTCAGTGGATGGAGCGTCGGCCTGCGGACTGAAAGGTCCCAGGTTCGATTCCGGTCGGGGGCATGTACCTTGGTTGCGGGCATATCCCCAGTGGGAGATGTGCAGGAGGCAGCTGATCGATGTTTCTCTCTCATCGATGTTTCTAACTCTCTATCCCTCTCCCTTCCTCTGTGTGAAGAATCAATAAAATATATTTAAAAAAAAATTAAAAAAAAAAAAGATAAAAATGTATGAATTACCTGAAGGAAGTTTTCACAAATATCACAGTTTAAACAAGGCTTCACATAAAGAATGTGGAGTTGGTATCAGGCAGTTCAGGTGCAAATTCTGGCTTTGTGACCTTGGGCTGATTATTTAACCTCTTGGAGTCTAGGTTTCCATATCTGTTAGGCAGAGATTACTCTGTTCTTGGGAACATTGTAGGGATTAGGGATAATGTTAGAGACAGTGAGGGTATTAGATAATAATATGCTGCCTGGGTTTGAATCCTGGCTCTGCCACTTACCAGCTGCATGACCTTGAACACATTACCTAACTTCTCTGTCCTCAGTTTTCTTAACTGTAAAGAGGGAATGATAGAAGTTCGTATCTCCTAGTGGTTACTGGTTAATATTTGTAAAATGCTTAGAACAGTACCTGGTACCGTATTTGCCGGCGTATAAGACGATTTTTTGGCCCTGAAAAATATGCCTCCAAGTCGGGGGTCGTCTTATACGCCAGGTACACTTCAGATAGACTGCCCATAGTGCTTGCCCCGTGCCATAGTGGCCTCCCGATGCCCGCCCACTTCATTCCACATACCGTTCAGGCATCAGCAGCGCTGCTGGGTGTATGCTCGGCTGTTATGCGATTTTGCTGTTATGCGATTTTACCACACTCGCAAAATCGCACACAGCCGACCATACACCCAGTATGATAGCGCAAAATCACGAATCGCGATACCATACTGGGTGTATGGTTGGCTGTGTGCGATTTTGCGAGTGTGGTAAATTCGGGTTACCGTATATTTCTTTACATATGCATTGAAGATTCGCGATTTTGCGCTATCATGGTGCCTGTTAGAATGTTGAAGAGCTCGCACTTGCGCACTAGTGAGTTGCTAGGGACTTGCCCGGCACTTGCTCTCTACCTCTATTTGTTATCTTTCTTCTATCATTGACAGTCCCTCTAGGTTGTGGGCTGCTTGCCTGTGTTCCTGAGAAGCATCTACGGTACCAGTCTATAGAGTGTGTTTTCTTTAGTGAATTACCGGTATGTTTACCGGTAATAAACTTGCACTGTTTTATGTATATGTTTGATTACATACAGCCTTGTGACAGTT